AAAAGGAAACTGGCCAATCAAAGCACAGTATTCGAGGAAAATTCAACAACATCAAATATACGGTGTTGTTGAAGCTGCCTTTCGGCAGGACCATAATTTCGCCGACAACAGTTATGGACATGGACGTTCATTCCTATCGTATGTACTTTTCTTTTACTGTATCCCTTGCCACCATCCGATTGTTGATTACCCTGGGCTACGCAGTGTATGCCAACAATTCGGATGTAATACAATTCCCTTTTTAAGTACCTTGATGCGCGCCGCATCACTCGAGATTCTATCTCACCACATGTGTTGACAGGTGGCGTCTGTTCTGTGGTTTTCAGCAAAACTTATGTGGCAGGAATGTGAACTCTGTCAAGGGCTACCACCTGGCACTCCATGTCCGGCGAGTCCAGAATGTCAGCTATGAAGCAGTAACGCCGCCCTTTGTGGTTTTCCTTGCGTTGAACATCCAGGTCGTCGCTGGGGTCGAATAAGCTGTCGTTGTGGCGCTTGTAATGCTGGTGGATGAATGACTCATCCAGGTACACAACGCTGGCATTCGGAGATGCACACACAACTGGATGCATCACCTTGACGTACGAGTCCCGAGCAAGCACGTTGGACTTGGACAAATGGTAGCTGGATGAGCCGGCCTTCTTCCCACGCCTGTAGCCCTGACGTTTCAAAATGCGTTGAACAGACCGCACGGCTGCCCAGGTCAGTGCCTTGTTGTTGAGATCAACTTCCATGACATCCATCTCGTTCAAATAGGTCATCACATCGACAGCTGTCGTTCGTGTGCGCGTGGCACGGCGATCACGTACGAACTCCTGGACTAGTGCAACGTTTTCAGTTGTGCGTGGGACCCGTGATGGGTGAGTTGACCTGTTGGCAGCAGGTTGAGCCTGGGTGACTGTTCCATAGTTGCAGTACTCGTTCCACACACCACGCACAACAGCAATGGACGCGGCCGTGCCATCTTGACGAACGTCATGAAATCCTTTGCTGTAGTATCCATCGAGTGGTGAGTGAATGAATAAATGAAAGTGCTGCCACGAAGCCATAGCTTTGAAACCATTGCTATGAATACATGTAACCACTGCAATGGCGCAACATTCATGAAACTACTGGTATGTTTAGTCTTGGCAGTGAATGGAAAGTGGAAGGTACTGTGAGTCCTTGATAAACTAAACCTTTCGAATCTAATACTCAAAATCGCTGTTACAGGTTATATGATGACAAGGTCAAAATCAGCCTAAGTTTAGTATGGTAATATTTTGAAGGATATTCGTTTCCAGAGAGTTTCGATTACACAGGTGGATTTATCATATTTTGCATCTCACATCGAAAGTCTCATACAATTCTGAGTTCATAGGCAAAAATACAGACATAAACTCTATTCGTTGCTGTCGGCCACTGTTAGCACTTGAAGATTGTGGTTGAAAGGATAGTCAAATTTACCAAGTATAAATACTAACAGGGCGCCAGATCCCGAAATTTCACAGTTCGAAGACACCAACAATGCCCACATCAACGGAGCCATAGCAGCACACCGCCTGGTACGATTGACTACACTTCCCTTCAGCACAACCATCTTAACATACACATGGGCCTTCAATGATCGATGCTTGGCCTCCCAAGACCCCTCAAGTACGAAGACTGCCGCCCCCGCTATGGAACGAAGGTTGGAGGTGGGCAAAACGGCAGTTCACAGGGAGCATGCGGAACAGTAGGCGTAGCCACACATCACCCTGCACCGGGGGAGGAATCCGACATGTCCGCCTGACACGCTTGACATAGCTGTGGATAGCCGCAGTAGTCGCACGGGCTGTGCTGGACATGGGGTGGTGTCCCTCATGGATGGGGGCATGGTGTACGGGGGCATCCTTAGCCAGGCCATAGAATGGGTGTCGGGCCGTGGGGGGGGCTGGGGTGGCCGGGGGAGGCGGCTGGTTGAGCCCCAGGACGTTGGTATGGACACAGGTGAGGTGGTTGTAAAGCATCCCGGATCGGCACACAGTCGCCCATTGCATGCGTCCATCCATGCCAATCTCCACTTGGGCAGCTGGGTTTCGATCAGACATCATCGCCATGAACTCTGCACGAGTCGGCCATCGACCATGCACAGCGACGATGTCAGCTAGACAGCGTAGCTGGTTGAGTGCACCATGGCTACACCATCGACGAGTGGTGGGCGAGTTGACGATGCTGGCAGCACATTTCCCATTCGACATGGACCGCTCGAATGTTGTAAGCCACACTGGGAGACTCATAATAGTCGCGCTGAAGTGGGGCAGCTGAATGCGACCATCCATCAGTGTAGCCGACCATTGTCTCCACACATTAATCCACAGAGAATGGAGTTCCCACAGCATGAGCCACTTCGACTTGTGGTGCGGGTGGTAGAGCAGGAAGTCGAATGGGTTGGATGCACGGTGGAGCCAACCCATGTACCTCTCAAACTGCCGTAACACGAGTGGCTTCCATAACGGTCGGAGTAGAATACTCCCACATGTGGATATTTCGGACATGAAGTTTGTAAATGGTCGGTTTAAAGGATTTCATCTGAAGTGTAAAAGTGCCCTACAGTAATGGTCTATCGGTATGATTCCTGCTGCGGGTGCAGGAGGTCCCGGGTTCGATCCCCGGTTGGGGCCGCACTTTTATATATTCTTGGCTTCTTTTGCGTTGGATTTGCTACTCGCCTCCTTTTTAATCCAAGGAGGTTCCATTAACTTGGAGGTCTCTGGAGAAGCGAAAGAACACGTATTCATGGAGTACGATTTCACTCAAAAATATGCATCGAATACAGTTTTCATTCAGCGTAAACATGAAGCACCGTTAGTCTAAGTGTCACAGGGCATTCATTAATCATTTAGTAACGTAATCTTCCTGAGTAGTCTCAACCCAGTCCTGGTTGCCAAGTAGCAGTGCCACAACAGCTGATCAGAGCAGAAGGAAGGGGGTGATGGAGGGCCAATGCAGCCTCGGCGAACGTAGTGGGCCTCAAACGAGGTGGAGAGGGTAACATCCGTGAGCATGATGCAACGATGCAACAGGAATTCGTGGCGGTTGTGGACTCGTGCATGCGTGGGTAAAAAACGAGTCGAGGTCGATGATATTTTGTCAGATAAACTGGACACCTCTCAATCTCTATGTACTGTATAACAGGAAAACAGCGCATATTCTGCAGTTTCGACAGCACCGCAGGAGTGAACACACATCATCGATGTTGCGTCGATACTTGGCGATACGGAAAGCGTGAATTATCGGAGCATTGGCAGAACTACACGGAGCCACACGTCGGAATGAACTGGGGTCAGCAGGGCAAATGCACGACGGATTTTTCGCATGTAGCTACGAGCCAAGGAGTAGCTGGTTCGAGTGCGCGATTGAGTAGGATGCTCGAGGTATTAGGAAGGGCCATGGAACGACATCCGTTTGATGATATCAGTGGTCAGAGTTCTAAGGGTTACACGTTGTCGTTGATGATGGATCGGAATGCATGCTGGGTGGATTGTGCAGTCACACAGGGAACATCATAGCAAACATTCAAGCGGGTTCGGGGGTAAGGTCAAATTGCAACCGTAGCTGGTATATCGAGACGGACATTTCGTTCTTGTTGGAGCACACGTGGTCGTGAAATGAGTTGAAGGGGGGCCAAAGCCGCCATGTCCAACATGAAGTAGGTCCCCAAGGCTTCTAAATCCATTGGGCACTCCTTGTAGTGCCCACTGTCAGGTGGTTGGCTCTTTGGTCGCGATGGTGGCGACGTCATCGCCCGTTGGGTTCAAGAAGTGGGGATACAGTACGTGGTACGCCACACAGATATGGATAGATATAACATCAAAGCTGGTGGGAATTGGCATACGGTGGGACAAAGACATCTTTGACCATGAGGCCCACACGGCCCTCCACAGTGGGTGTAGCACCGACATGTCGTGCCGTGCAGCCAAGTCATGTGGTCGCAGCCACAAAAAGTCGAACGGGTGTGATGCGCGGAACAACTGGCCGAGACACGAGGCAAATTGCTGTCAAACTAGCCGGAACCATGGTGATTGCGGAGCAGTGAGCATCAGTTGTTGTAGTAGACGGAGCCGTTGGTCTCTAATAGAGGAGGATATGTGGGGTATCCCCAACCCCAAAGCACGATTGTACAACCACATCGGACGCAGGAGGGGATGGAAAACTGGTGTGACGAGGGATTTGATGCCAAGAACGAATTTGTTGAGCGTGCGTTGATTTGATCATGGGGTCAGGGATGACCGTCACCCCTGTAACGTGCCAGATGGTCGACAGGATTATAGATGTGGCCAGGGTTTTGCTCCCTGGATAGTGCGTTCCCGACACAACTACGCAGCAAAGCAGTTGAGCGGTTGAGGAACATGTCGTTGACATACAGGCGTCTCACGAGGCAGGCATATTGTGGTCAACAAAGGAGCCAAGGAACTTGATGGGGGACTGTGTCGGAAACGACAATCAACGGAGCACTAGGACGGCCAACAAGCTCCTCGTGGGCGTTGAGTGTAAGGGTAATTCACTTCGACAGATTGAGGCTAGTCCCTGACACTTCGCAGAACTGTGCAACGATGGTACTAACTTGGTAGTCGGCCGACTGGAGGAAATTTGACAGGATGTCGAGTCATCGGCAAAAACACCCCGATCAGGGGTGCGCGGTCGTGCAGCTGGATGCCCAGGTGAGGTGCGGCATGGAGCATGTCGCCAAGTGGCTCGATGTAGAGTCGAACAGCAGGCACGATGGGGGGCAGCTTTGCTTAACCCCGCGATTGAGTTTGATAGTGGGACCCAGTGAGCAGTTCAGGAGCAGTTGGCGCGAGGTATTTTGTAGACCATGTAGGGAGTTGATAACGCAGAGGAAATTGTAAAACTGATTGATTGGCGTTATCTACATCTACATGCATGACTACTCTGACTATACTATATCTAATGCTTTACATACGTGCGCTCTGCAGAAGGAACTTCTGGTGTCCATGGTTGAGCACGCCGCACGCCAATCGAGCTTGGTCGTAAACTGACGTCAACAGTGACGTCTGTTCTGATTGGTCGATAACCCTATGACGCCACTGGAGTGACGTTGCTACATTCTCCCCCGGTTATCGATTTCGCCGCTTATATCTTCGCTCGCAGATCTTGAACCAGGCGCTTGAAATGGGAAACATGTTTGATGTCCCGCTCAAGTTCCCAGGTCGCTTCATAATCGGGCAAGCCATGCCACTTGACGAGGTACTCTTT